CCCAAAGGATGCCTTTTCGCAGCATATTCCTCCCCACCGCCGCCTTCCCTTTCCCAAAGGCTGTTAAATGTCTTTATTACTCGCCCTCCCTTCCCCCCCCCAGCCCGAGGGGTGACTTTTAAAATGTATCATTCGCCTTCTCTTTTTCCCGTTCCCGAAGGGTGACATTTAAATACAATGGCTCTACAATCGTCCCCGGAGACCAAGGGGTAGACTATGAAACCTTTAAAAGGAAATGCACAGGTAAGCTCCCTCGCGATGGCTTTGGCACCTGACCGCGTCTTCTTGCTGCCCGGTGCAAGGGGGGGAAAGGATGGGAGAAAATGGGGGTAAACTGGAACGAGTGCTGCTGCTGCTGCTGCCCCGCGCCTGCCCTCTCCTCCGCCCAAGTCGCTTGAAGTCCAGAGTCCGGCCGGTCCTTTGTCTCATGCGCCAGACTTAAGGTCCTTTGGGCTTCCCCCCCCCCCTTACACAATTTTTCATTGCTTCTCGGTTATAAAGAAGATAAACCGCCCGATTAGCAACGGTCTCCTTGTTGAGCACCGCGCTTTCAAAGCGTTGCTGAAGAGCGACAAAAGATTCGATTTTTTGTGGCTAAAAAGATGCCGACCATACAGAGCATTTCGCAACAAAATTCTTCTGTCAGTTGTGTTCCTAGCGCTAAAGTAACTGCAGCTCCAAGGCTTGCTCAGATTTTTTTTAAGAGCGTGAAACCCGAGCGGGGAGCGGCGGTGGTGCCGAAGATCGGCTCGAACAATACGGCACGGGGAACAATCGCGTGCGTGGCGTTGCACGACCGCAACAGTTGCGGCTCTCGGTTTAAACGCGGCAGTTGATCGTTTAACCATGGGGTGTAGAATATTAACAGGAGAAAACACAGCCTGGGGAAAATGACAATAAATTGAAGAATATATAACTTCATCTCATCTTAACTTTTGAGGTGTTTTACCAAAGCGGGCTTTGATTTTCCTCAAAATAACTTCGGGGGGGGGGGGAATTGTGCAGCTTTTCCCCCTGTTCTTGGCGGCTCTTTAACAACGTCCTTAACACTAAGTGGCACGAGATACAAAGCGTCTGTAACTTGTACTGGACTATGGCAGACAAAGCCTTCCTCGCTCATCTACTTACTCTACAGTCAAGTACCAGGGTTAACCTGTACTTGTAGAATTCTGTATCTGTTCAGCGGAGGAGCTGCATGTGGAGGGGTCTCTCAAGGTGGGGTGAGTTCTGGAGGCATCGCGGTCAGAGTCCCGCAGGCATTGAAACGCTAGTGCCTGTCCAAATTGGTCTGTCAAGTCCTAGGGCTGGGCTCTATTTTACCGAGTTGGAGGGGAAAACTTGCAGTAACTTGGATGAGGACAGGGCTGGACTGATATTTATCAGTCAATAAATATTATAGGAGAAAAATACCTTCTAGTCCTTGGAGAGTAGCCACTAAATCAGGAAGGTTTAGTCGGCTCTGATACGACATTTGTGGTGGGGTCTTACTAGGATTACCACGGCTGCTCAGTTCCAGCTGTTCTTGAGCCCTTTGCAGGGAAAATTCTCAAAACCAAAAAGGATCCTCTTGTAGTTGATGTCAGAAGAGCTGACACTCTGTAGTAGTGCAAGAACTCCTTCCCACCCAACTCTTCTGGACGGGCAACATAAGGAAAAAGTAATTCCCCGGCATACAGGGAAACCCAGGGCTCAGCACGTCTGAAGTTCGTGCCAACGTTATCTGAAGGGTTGGTCGCTTTCTTGGGACATCAACAGCTTCAGTATCTGGGTGCCATGTTCTCTGTCTCCCCTTGTGGCCGAGATAACTGAGCATCTCCAGACATCTGAGGCTTGCAGAGGAAGCTTCCCCATTTATTTTCTCTCTTTGTTTTCAGGGAGTCCATCCCTTAGGTTGTCTGAACTGATTTTTAATGTTTTGTCTGGAGCGGCACCCTCTCAAGAACAGTTCCCTTCTGCAGCGAGGGGAATACTTTTATCGAGTGGCTAAGTGGGCAGAGGGGCTTTGGCGGAGAGCAGCGGCCGGTTGGGCTGGTTGGGATGCATGTAACAGCTCATTGAGGCACACACTGCACTTTGGCATATGGCCAGTTTTGCTTTCTTGCCATCGTTTGCATGTGCCAAACCCTTATTTATAAACAGGGTATTAAAAGAGGCAGAGTTTAAGGACACCTTGTTTTATAGCAGCAAAATGCCAAGTTGGCCCCAATACCAAAGCATTTTTACAGCAAAAAGGAAATTTTGCATATTTTAGGCATAAACCTGGTAAGGGAAGAGTTAAATAAAGGGCAGCTGTGGGGTAGACTGCGGCCTATTGTTAGCCTTTAATGTGGAG